GAGGATAGGAAAGGTAGCAGAATACAACAGTTACTAATATGGCATTATGTAAAAATGTGGATGTGTAACCGATGTGATTCTGCAATCTTTGTAATGTTTTGAACAACCAATTAAAAAAAAAAAAAAAGAATAGGAAAAACGAAACCTGTCATTCTCTCTTGAGTCTGCTTCTTTCTCGAGAGCCCGGACAACATCTTCCAGCTGGAGAAGTTTGTTTCTCATATCACTCTTCTCTTTCTCCAATGCCATTTCGGCCTCTGTCTCCTCCAGGGCAGTAAGACACTCTAGCCCAGGCTGCTGTGGGTCTGGGAGCTTGGAGTGTAACCAGGAGGACCCCCAACAGGCAGCCTCCTGGCTGTGCTCAAGCCAGGTCTCCCGGGCATTGTCACCACCCCTGGACATCCCCTCAAAGACCTGGCCATGACCACTCTCAGGGGCTGGGTCCCCGCTCAGGCTGTTGGCTTGCTCCTCCAAAGTGGCTGGGCTGTGCCATGGCTCCAGTGTCTGGGGCTGAGCCAACCAGGCCATCCCCTCTGTGGCCAATACGGGAAGCTCCTGGGCATCAGCCTGGCCCAGACTCATTGGGGCCCTGGCAGAAGGCACTGGCTCCTCTGCAATGGCTCCCTTGTTCCCTTCGCATGGCTGCATGTATGACCTCTTCTCCAAGGGAACAGAAGCTACCTCCCCAGCACTGAGTGGACCCTGACAGTTCTCTCCTAGGCTGAAGCTTTTCAAGGACTCTCTGGATACCAGAACAGGGGTTGGGTTCTGTGTGGTGTCCACACAGCGAGGCTGGCTGGGTAAATCCCTGCCTTCAGTTCGCCTCTGGCCAGGCGTGTCCTCGGCCAGTTCCCTCATCTCTCCATCAGTATTCAGATCCAACTGAGCCAGTGGTTGCTCCCCACCTAGGCACAGGGATGTGAGGCCCGTCACAGTGGTTCCATCGTTCAAGAGGGCCCTCAGTGCCTCTGCCTCCTGCGCAAGCCCTTCCACTTGCTTCCTGTAGGTGTGCTCCAATTCCTCCTTCTCCAGAGCCATCGATCTACAAATCTGTGCCTGTTCCTCACTCATCACTGCCTGCAGTCTCATCTGCTGCTTCTGACAGCGTGTGAGGATCTCCTTCTCTCTCTCTTCCTGCTGCTCTTTCTCCAGGTCCAGTTGTGCCACCAGCTCCCTCAGTCGCCACAGGTGCGTCTGCAGCAGCCGGTCCTTCTCGCTCTGATGCTGCAGGGACAGCCTTTCACAGCGGGCAACATGTTGGGCTTCCAGCCACGACAGTTTCTGGGTCAGCACATCTTCTGCCTCTTTCCTACAGAAATATATAATGAGTCACAAAAACATGGGCTCTGCCACAGTGAACCCCAGATCCTTATTCTCAGGGAAGAAAAGGCCACTAGGACTCCTGTTCTAACTGCCTAACTCTTCTCTCCTGACTGATTCTCCGTATCCTTCTTTATGTCCCTGTGCCCAGGGCTTCCACACCTGGGGGTTAGGTCTACACATAGAAGCCAGCAATGGAAGTCACCCACCACATGTGATGGTTTAAACGAAAGGGAATTACTACGATGTAGAAGTAAAATTCCGTCCTGTAGTCACACTGGCCACATTGCCAGTGCTCAAAGGTCAAGTGTGGCCAGAKGATGTGTGCCTCATCGCAGTGAGTGCTCTCAGACAGGGCTGGTCTGGAGTGTTAGTAAAATGGCTGACACTCATCTGTCTTTAAAACTTCCCTTGAAAATCCCTTAAGCGGCTGGCCTGGGGCCTGTGGCACCTGAGACTATGGTGTGGGATGAGGGCTGGACAGGAACACCAAGCCTGTCAAGGCACACTGTCCACTTTGGCCAAGACAGGGWGGTAGAAAATGACATGGGGCTGCCTATGGCTCTACCTTATACAGAGGCGTGACGAGGAGCCCAGCTGAGTAGCAGGATAAGCTCCCCAGGAGTGAGGAGCCAGAGAACTCCAAGGCCCAAGACGGCTTGGGCAGGTGGGCAGGGGCATCCTGGATGCTGAGGAGGAGGGTGGCTTCCTTATACCTGTCCCTCAGCCACCTTGTGGGGGGGGTCCAAAGGCGGGTCTAAAAGGGTTGAGTCCGTTATCTCACATTCTTGGGTTTAAGATAGTTTTTTGTGTACTTATTTTACTTAGGCTGAGGCTTTATAAATTAAGGGATATGTGTGTGAATAAAGTTATCTAATGAGGTCAAAGAAAAAAAAGATAATTTAGAGTTCTGGGAAAACACATGACTTAAAAATTACTTCTTGCCAGGCCTGGTGGCGCACAGCTGTAATCCCAGTGGCTTGGGAGGTTGAGGCAGGAGGATCTCGAGTTCAAAGCCAGCCTCAGCAATGGCAAGGCGCTCAGCAACTCAATGAGACCCTGTCTCTAAATAAAATACAAAAAAGAGCTGGGGATGTGGCTCGGTGATTGAGTGCCCCTGAGTTCAATCCAGTACCCACTCCTACAAAAAAAAAAAAAAATTACTTCTTTATCCTCCAGGATAATATTAGTCAGTTTTTTGTGAGTCCCCAGTGGCCTAGGTGGGTACACGGGCATCATCTTGGAGGGGAGGGAAGAGGGAATGCTGATTCTTCTTTATCACATCTCACATCCTGAGGTAACCCTGGCTTCTTTCTACTAAGACAAGTGCCTGCCTTATCTATGTCAGGAATGATTTCCCTGCAAAGGTCACTTGACTTCCTGCTGTCAGTGTGGTGACAGGGCCATGTTTCTTAAGTATCAACAGGTGAACATCACTAGCCTCAGCACAACCCTCACCTGAGTCGTTTTGTAAAGTCCTGGCCAATGGGGGAGGTCCTGGTCTTGCTGGGGTGACGTAAAATGGCCAGGTGATAGGAGGGGTCATCTTCGTGTGGGAGATAATGCTCTCCATGGGTCTGTATCCCAGTAACCAGCATCGTGTCTTCAATAAACAAGTACTAACTCTACCAAGACAGGCTCATGTGACAGGGAGGGAACGTGGCATTTCTCAGGTAACTCCCACCATGAACACCCAAAATACCACACTCAGATTTTCCAAATAGCCCTTTTCCCTTCTGGGTACAAATATTTCAGCCTTTTTGAAGATTCTGACCTGTCCAAATTAACTATCTTTTCCATTTTGGGGAGGCTTTTTGACTTTTTTTTTTTTTCTTCCTTATTCCACCATGTCCTGGAAAACCAGAATGCTATACTAAATGATGGAGAAAATTCTGCCTTTGCCTACTAGGCAAGTCTGAGGCCGAAGAGAAAGAACAGAGTTAAAATTCTATACAAAAAACTACTCCATGTCCCAAATTCTGTTAAAAGGGTATTTTGCCTTAAAGTAAAAATCTTTAATACAACAACCAATTTTTTTCAGTCCTCATTCATTTACTCAGAGCAAACTCATCCTGCTAGAAGACACTGCAATCCTAAAGAGCTTACCTAAATCTAATTTCAAACTTTGATTGTTAGCAAGAAACCCTAGTCATGAGCTCCAAACTCAAACAGACCTTATCTGCTGTAGTTGGTTCTGGTGCCTCAGCTGCAGCTCCTCCTTCAGTTGCTGGGCCAGGCCACACAGCACCTGCGCACAGCACTGTTCCATCCCAGTCTGCCCAGGCTCAGGGCCATGAGTTGCATCCTGCAGCTGCTCCCGCAGGCCCAGGATGACCTCCTGAGACTTGGTATACAATGCTTCCAGGTCTGCTTTCTGGCTTTCCAATGTGCAAACCTCAAGCTGGTGAGCCTGCTCCATCTCCTTTCTCTCCTTCTGAAAGTTTCTCTGCATGACCTCAATTTCCGTCTCGTAGTAATTTACCTAAAGAGGGAACCATGAGACACACAAGTCAGAAAGTCCTAAATATGACCTAACTGGTAAGAACAGAAATATGAAGCTACCAGGCACAATGGCCTAGACCTAACTAGGCCCCAGGGTCTGTGGAAGGAGGTAACAATGTAAATGATGGTAACACTCCCTGAGGACCCATATTGGCCATAGGCAATATGTCATCCGCCATGACTTCACAGTGACCCCCCCCCGAAGCAGGTCCAGTAGGTGGGGTCAGAAGGCATCAAGGCCAACCTGGGCATCTGGCCAGGTGACATGAAGAGGGCAGAGGGCATGAGAGCTACTGAGAGATCTAAAGAGCCTTCACAAGACAAGCAGGGTGGCTCTTAACACCTTGGAATACCTGACAGAAGGGATACTATCCAGATATAGGTGGCCAAAGCCATGCTAGAAGCTTCCAATTAATTCATTCAGGGAGATCAAGGACACAACTGCTAATCAGACAAATGAATTGGATTCATGACAGCAAGTCCTGGAAATTGTCCTTAAAATCCACTACTACCTAATAACAGAGCAGGGGACAAGTTCATCCAAGAGGACACACTCAGCCTGAGAAATCCTGCCCATGGAGTCCCCATAGAGGGCAAATTCCAGGTCCTTTAGGCTTAGAACAAAGCTTGTCCCTGTGATTCCCAATAGCAGACAAGTTGGAAAAGCTGTCCATCACACAGCTATCTTTAGCACATCCTCGTGTGACACTCAGAGCAAAACAAATCCCTTCCTTCCCTGTCATTCATCATTATTATTACATCCTACTTCCCCCCACAGAGGGCCTGGGGGGTAACATCAGTTTTATTTACTCTTTCCTACAATCTTTCCTCTCTGAGCTGGCCCATTACAAGGCAGATGCAGGTGCCAGGGCAGCCGTGTGTGGTAACATTGGTTCAGTGAAGCAATTGCTGCCAGCGTGTAGCCCATGGTGCCCTTGTCCCCTGACCTTGGTCTCCAGCTGGATCTTGAGATCTTGGTAACGTTCCTTCACCTGCTCCATCATTATCTCCGTTTCTATACTCACTGGAGTGGAGTCACCCACAGACAAAATGCCTGTGAATGAGAGGACATTCTGTTATGTTATGCACCTCAGGGTCCCTTCTAAACCTTCCAATCTGACATGTGGATAACACCAGTCATCCTGTCTTCATCTCCTCACCCTGAAGACAGCACCCCTTCCTTGTGCCCCATCTGTGAGGAATGAGGTGCTAGCAAAAAGGGTTACACCATATTATAAAAGCTAGTGTTCCATAGAAATCAGCAGCCGGTCTTAACCAGAACAGATTATTCAAGAGAACTGGGAGGCTCCTTACAAGCTCCATCAAGGCCCCAATTCCCTCACCTGAGAGCATGGGCGCCTGAAGGTAGACTCTGCATACAGGTAGGACTTCCCCTCAGTGGGGACTGTCCCATGCCCACCCCACAGCTACCCTAAGTTGCCTTCCATATTCCAGGCTCTTCTACAAGGTTGCCTATGATGCTTCACTGGGCAGATGTATTTCCCTTGAGTTCACAAGATCATCATAACCTTCGCCATTTATAACAAATGGCAAAACTCTCCACACTCCTTCACCACCTCTGGTCTCAAGGGTCATGTAAACATCCAGCCTCGAGCTGCTTCCATGGAGCCCCACCAGCCAGGGCCAGGCTCGTACCTGCTGGGCCACGTCCAGAGACCCTCTGTCCATGGGTGCCCAGGTCCTCTGAGGGGCTCTGCCAACTCTCAGGCAGTTGTGCCCGCAGGCCTTCCAGCTCAGCTTGTAGCTCATCATTGCAATCTTGCAGATCCTGTGGGGTAGAGCCAGATACCATCTCCAGCTGCTGCAGCCACTGAGCCCAGTAAGGATGAGCCCAGGACCAGCCCCATTTTTAGGGAGTATCCAATATGGGCTAAGCACACAGTGAGGCCAGCAGGAAATGATTCTGGACTCCTAACATGTTAGTTAGGCTTAGCAAAAACCAGTTAATCTCACACCCAAATGAGTTTTGATCATCAGAAGTACAAGAAAGGCTCAAAGAAAAAAGTGAGTAGATAATAAGGCAACTGTGGAAAATACAGAGAATTTCCAACATCTGAAACTACAGGTGCTTTGTTTAAAAATCACACATGAGAAACCATAGTGTCCTGGACTATGTGTTGGGATTCTTTCCTCAGCTGCTGAGCAATATGCAAAGGGTTCTGAAGATGCAGTTATTAAATACCAAAGAGGATGCCACTTGCCTTAGATCAAATGCCACAAAGCAGAAAGGATGATTAGCAAGCAGACAAGGAGTAGGTGGAGGCCACATGGGTACAGGAAGTGAAATGAGGGAGAGACACACCCTTCAGACAGAGGAGGAAGCTTCAAAGGAAGGGTCTGCATTGGGGCTGGCATGTTTGGGGTCTGCACTTTAATGATGCATGTCTGGATAAACGGGTAGAGGCACTTGCTTGTTAAAAGGGATAGGAGAAAGAGTTTACAGCTCATTTTCCTAGATGGTTCCAAATCCTGTAGACTCTCCAGAAACACAGCAACAGTCATTCCTGAYTGTGGGTCTCTCTCCCCTACCCTGGGTCCCAGGCAGAGCTGTGACTCTGTGACTGATCTGACCTTCTCATGGCAGAAGTGAGGTCATATGCCTTTTAAGGACAAGTTGCCACATAGTGTCTCTTGGGACACTCCCTCAGGGGGAAGCTGGCTACCATGCTGTGAGGAAGCCCACATTTGAACATAAGGAGAGGAATGGAGGCCCACCTGGCACACCCACAAGATACCAGCTGCCTGAGTTTTGAATTTCTAATTCTTTACAACCTCTTCAGAGAGCTCTCATTAAATAACCTAATCTTCCTGAAACCATTGCCGGAGGCCAGTGGAGGCCAGTGTCTTGCCTGCCAACTGTATCATCAAGTCTCCCCTTAGAGCAAGTGCCTTTCTGTGGTAGCTGCAGGCCACCACAGAGGAGGGCCAGGCACTGGGCATCTTGGAGAAGAATTCATGGAGGGTCATTTGCACCTCACTCCAAATCCCCTGTGCAAAAATGCACTTTTCTCCTGAGAATGGAGAAGCTCTGTCCTGGGGAAAGAATAGGCTAGGAACAGAACAGGCACTCGGTTGCTAACTGGCCCTGCCCTTCAACACAGCAGCTTCATTATTCATCAGTCCTGAGCTGTCCAAATCAGAGTTGCTTGCCACATAGGCTAACGAGCTCCTGAAATATAAACATGACTTCAAAGACTTAAAAAAAAGTTGGGGGTGTTGTACCATATCTCAACAATTGTTTATGTATTAAAATAACATTTTTGACATATTGGATTAAACAAAATATATTATTAAAATTAACAGCACCTATCTCTATATTTTTTAAGGTACCTACTTGAAAACTTAAAACTACATGTGTGACTGGTATTGTATTTTTACTAGCCAGTGCTGATCTAGAAGGCAGCATCAACAGAATCATTTCCACCCAAAGTCAGGCCCTGCTGACTTTGTGGTTCTTTCTGCCACCCAAAATGGGTATTTTGAGAGCATAGAAATATTCCATAAATTCAGTAGTGCCAGAAAACAGAGGTTCTCTCAGATGATGGGGGGCACAGGTCAGGCCAGGAATGGTTTGTCATGACTGTTGAAGGTGGCATGTGTTCTGGGCACCAGGGGTCTCCACAGGGGGAGGGAGCTGGGCATGAGTAGGAAGCCAGTACTCTGTTGTCACAGACACTACATGTTTATTTGGGGTGGTTTAAGGACACTAAAGGCAACTTTGGGGCACGACTGCACCAGCCAGGGAGACAGACTTTCATGACAAGCCTAGCAGTCATTTCCTGTAGCCCTGGTAATCTGCAGACTCTGGAACTTTGGAACTTTCCTTCTGGTTAGTGGGGAGAAGGCAAGCTCATAAATGAAATCAGAAATGAGATGGGGTTCAACATCAATACCAAGAAGCAACTTTCAAAAGTGTGGAGAGGAAACCAGGGCTGGCAGGCTGCCTGTGGGGAACCAGTCAAGCTGATTAAGCATAAATGTAGGGGTCTAAAAGCCCTGTGTATGTCCAGAAAATGGGAAAAACTGGGTATCTGTTAGGGGCTGATGTAGAAAAGTTCAAAAAGAAAATCAAATTTAGGGTTTCTGATCAAAGATATGCTACTCTGAGTAGCAATAAAGACATGAAACCACAGAGAATCTCTAAGGAGAATCTAATTAACATTTCAGACTCCCCTTTAGCAAGGGCAGCCTCACCATGAAAACTGAGACCGACAGTCAAAAGACAAAGGGAAAGTTAAAATGACAGACAGTGAAATAGAAAGGGAATTCTGCATCAAGAGAAAGCATGGTGTCCTTGCTGGCAAATATCCTTAATATAAGCACAAGAAACCCCAGAGAAGTGACATTGGGAAAAAGGAGAGATGCACAGTGAGGAAGGTGCATCTTCTGGAACCTGGAGATTGACCATAAAAGATGCCCTCAGTCAGCTAGAAGACATTCTTACTGCTCAAAGGTTGCACAATTTGAACACCAGAATTACTAGCACATGAACGAATTAAAAGCTACTGGGGGAAAAGGGGAATTAATGTCTACACCAAGGACAGAGGGACAAATGGGAGTTCTCTAGCTTGAAGTAGAACAACAGTGACAGATGTGGAATGGGTGCTGGAGCTGGAAAAAATCATTTTGCAATTATCATGGTAAGGACTGAATTGGGCAAGAATCACTAATGGATGCTAAATTCAAATGGATGCATGCCTGGCCTTAAAGTGTTTCCCTACTGCTTAGTTATAAGGGAGAAAAAAACAATCGTAGGTCAGGGAAATCAGGCAACACCTCAACCAGATGATCATTAGCATCACCAATGAGGGCCAGATAAACACAAAGTCTCCTACCTAAGTGTTCTAGCCAAGAAAGCACTGCCTCCATTGAATCAAAAGGAAACACCAGGGATTATAGTTCATAAGAACTTATTACATATCTCAATTTAAATGTAAGAGGCACTTGAAGGTTCCAAATAAAAATAAATGATAAGTGTCTGAGGAGGTGAAAATGCTCATTACTCTGATTTGATCATTACACATTGTATTCACATATTGACTTTCTCACACTGTGCCCCGTAAATATGTTCAATTATATATCAATTAAAATTTTAAAGAAGGGTATTCCCTTCTTTTTACACAGGTGTTCATTGCACTATTTTTATATTTTTATGCTTGCAACTTTGTATACATTTTAAAAATGCTCTAAATGTTAGTTGGAAATAGCCAAAAATATCCCAAAAATATGGAAAGGGAAAATTTTTAAATACACAGCACTAAAATGTAAAATATCTTTAGCAAAGTGTCAAAAAATAGATTTTCAAGAATCAGAGGTGAAATAAGTAGCAGAGTTACATTCAAGAAAAAGGATTTATGTATGTTTGAAAAATCCAGTGTACTAAAGGCACATATTAATTGATGGTTACTTCTAAGTTCCTAGTCTACTCAACAAGTTCAAAAGAAAGACCCAGCATGTGACTATGATCCTGGCAGACAGCTAGCCAGCACATTCCACCTGTATGACTGTCCCCAATATACCCCAAATAAGTCCAGAGGAAGGGTGACAACGGCTCACCACACACCGGATTTTTAAAAGGAAGAATCAGTGCAGAGAAAAATCAGCAGGGCACCTGGGATTGGGGTCTGGAGTCAGAGGCAAACCACAGCAGCAGATGCAGAGCCCACTCAGAACCATAGGTCAGGCTCACCTTTATCCTCTGGTATTGGCAAAGCAATGTGCAGCAGAAGCAAAGTAATTAATGTACTTAAATTGGAGGAAAATCAATGAGAAATGAACTGATAATAGACCCTTAAAACCAAACAATGTTTTATCTATTTTTTCTGGAGACAGGGCATCCCATATTAATTACCACCTCTAAGAACACAAATGTCTTCCCCACACTATCTGCTCCACTTTCAAATCACAGAAAATTACTTTGGTGCCCTTAACAATGACTGTTAACAGTATCCCCAGAAATAATCACATTTTTAGTGTGAGGTGACTTGGAATGAATAATTATAGGTGACTTACATATGGAAAGAATTAGAGAAAACTAAAACCAGTTGTGTCTAATCCATTAGCACACAAGGTAACTATACCTGGACCTGATAGAACTGTCAACTTCACACATAATCACATCTTCAGATAGTTACAAATTATAGTGTTGAACTTGGAACAGTTAACTCATCTGTCTTAGATGTTTCTTATTTTTGTCAATGGAGATTATATATGGAGGATTTTTTTGGTGGGTGCAGTGGGGCTTGAATCCAGGGCCTCATATATGCTAAGCACATGCTCTACCACTAAGTTACATCCCAGACCCACCATATAGTTTTAAATGGCTAACAATTGGAAGATGTGTCTTACTTATTCTTACTCAATCGGTAATGCTGCCTATGTAGGTGTTCATGTCTACAATCATCTACTTCCATGTTCTTTTCTGTCTTTCTTTATTTTAACTTTTTATACTGGGGATTGAACTCAGGGGTGCTTAACCACTGAGCCACATCCCCAGCCCCTTTTATATTTAATTTTATTTAGAAACAGAGTTTTGCTAAATTGCTTAGGGCCTTGCTAAGTTGCTGAGTCTGGCTTTGAACTTGTGATTTTTCTGCCCTGGCCTCCCAAGCCATGGGGATTATAGGTGAGTACTGCCACACCTGGTGTCCTATAATGAAATTTCTTCAAGAGGATTGATCCTGGAAGTAGACGCTTCTATCTCAGAATCTTGGCTGGTCCCTGGGCACACTTGGCATGACTCAATAATGCCTATGTAGGGCTGAGCAACCTCTACTAGACACTCTGCCTAGAGAAGATACTCTTGCCATCCCTGGCTGGACCACTCTACACCTGAAGACCAAGAGTGCTGTTCACCCAGGAGGGGAGAGGTATGAGGGCTGCACATTGCCAGAGGTCTGAGCCAGGCAGACCTCGACAGCCTCCAGGGCAAGCCCATTTCACAAGCCCCCCTTCCTGCTGCTGCTACTGCAGGGTGGACTAGGGGTAGGGTAGGGGTACAGGAAGGTCTGTACATCAATGACAAAAGTGAGGGCTTCAGGTACAGCAGGACACAGGGCTGTTTCAGGTGGCTAGGCAGGTTGGGTGGGGCATGTACCCGGCACTTGAGCTCATATTCCTTCAGGAGTACTGCAAACTGCTCCTCCTGGGATGGCAGCTCCATGTTCTGTGGCTCCTGCTGAAAGTGAGAAGGACAAGTAATCAGAGGAAGGCCCTCAGGCCAGTGGAGCTGCTTCTCCAGTCCTGACCCAAGAACCTTCCTCCCTGGTGGGCTGTGCACCTCCAGGTACAACCACTCTGACTTTCCTGTCCCTGAGTAGTCCCTCTTCTCCTCAGAGGATGGGGAGAGCCCCATGGGAGCCTTGAGGTGGCACAGAGCTCTAACCTTCCTCTTTACCCCCAACTCTGGGAATGGGTATCTGAGGCCCATGCAAATGGTGCTGTCCCTGGTCACAGATGACACCCAATACTGTCACAAAGAGGTATAAAAACGAGGTAAGGTAGCCATGCTTATTTTTTTTTTTTTCGGTTCTAGAATTTCAGTAGAAAAACATTAAATTCAGTCACCTATATATTCTTTTTCAAGATACAGACAGCTTTTACCCGCTACCACAGGCTTCCCTCTGAAGACTCAAAATCAGCAGAAGGACTTGCCTTGTCTTTCAGCACAAACTCCAGGTCGTTCTGTAGTTTCAGGACTAGTTTCTCTGAATCTGAAAGCTTTTCCACCACTTCCACAATCTCCTTCTGTAATCGACTGTTTTCCTATGAGACACAGGCCAGTGTTGACCAGGCTGAGGAACTGAAGGAGGATGTCAGCAGGTCTCAAAGAGTCACCTCTCTTAAAGTAGAAGGCTTGTACCAAGCAGCATTTGTAATCAGGGAACAACCCTTAAGGCAGGGCATCTATGTACCCACTGCCTCTGCACTGAACAGGTAGGGCTGCACAAAGATGGCTTCCTGATTGTCTCTACTTTTCTTCTCCCATTCCGCATGCTTAGAAAAGTCAAGGGTGATAAAGAAAAGGCTGAATGCATCATTCCCCCCCCCCCAGAATTGGGGATTGAGCCCAGGGGTGCTCTATCACTAAGCAATAATGCCCAATCCATTTTATTTTTTGGTACAAGGTCAGGCTGGCCTCAAGCTTGAGATTCTCCTGCCTCAACCTCCCAAGTTGTTGGGATTACAGGTGTATGCCTCTGTGCCTGGCCTGAGCTGTTTTCTAAATGAGAGATCTGAAACTGCCCTATTGATATAGGGCTCAGAGGTCTACCAGGGAAGGAGGGTAGGATCTGCAGACACTGGGGACTGTAGTGAGAAGGGTCAAGGGATATAATTCTACAGACACCAAGGCTGGTAAGTGATTTATGCTGTGTCCAGCTTTTCCTCCCAGAGGAGAGAGACTGTTAAGAGGCAGGGCAGATGTGGAAGGAAGCCACTGGGCTCCAAGTTAGGAAGGAAGGAGAAACAGGAGAGCAGGAACCAGGCACACAGATGAGTGCCTCTAAGTCTCAGCTACCTGTCCTGAAGTCTGGAACCTCATGGAGACAAGCACAGGGAGAGTGCAGAGCATGGGATACTCACCAAAACCATGTCTCTTCCAGGCCACAAATCTGGGCTCTGGCAGGCTACTCTATATGTGCTCCTAGACTCTAAGGGTATCACCAGACTGGTTGTGGTGGCTGGTTCTCATTGATCTCAGGTTTATCTGACCTTGAGCAAAGAATGGGAGCTAGAGGGAGCCACAATATGGCTCCTCACAAAGTTGAAATGTTCTCCTTTGGCTGAGAAGGTAACATCACCCTACTCTGCCAACCATTTGTATCTTCACAGTGGTGCCCCAGGGATGCACCCCACTTACCTTTAGGGCCAGGGTGAGCTTCTCATGGAGGCTGGCCTCCTCAGCCCTCAAGCGGCTCACATCTTGCTCCAGTGCAGCCTTCTGCCTGCAGGCCTGGTCCCAGATCAGCTCCTGCTCCATCTCCACCTCTGAGCGCAGGAGACTCAGCCTTCCCCTGTACCCCTCCTCCAGGTTCCTGTAACACAGCATGCACTCTATGTTGGGGCTCTTTAGGTGTGCCACCTACCTCCTCAGGATGCATTTCTTCTCAGAAGCCCACCCCACCTTTAGCACTTGGCCAGCCATCTGGGACCCTGTCATTCTGCTCAGCAGATGGGGTTGGCTTCTAGCAGATGAACTTCTCATGCAGGCCTGATGCTTATCAGAAAAGGGGTGCTGCTGGGTTACATGAATGCCAGCACCTTGCCCTTGGAGTCCTGGTGTAAGTGAGTGGTCAGAGCTCTCTGGGGTGTATCACACTGATGCACAGCTTTTCTACTCCAAACCTACACTGCATGACATCACACCATACTACCCTGCAGCAGCCCTTTGATAAGGCCTTTGACACCAGATTCGTGTAAAAGTCAGCCTCCCTCTGCAAGAAACAGGCAGCATGAAACCTATGGACAATGAATTCTCAAGAGGGAAGAGGAAGATATATGTAGCATTTTTTCCTCAAAATTTCTATTCATCTTTTGCAACAACCATTTCCATCAAATCTTAGTCTTCTTGACACATTTCTCAAACCAAGTCTGTTTAGACTTGCAAATGAAAGAGACTCTGACTTCAAAAGGGTTGACAGTGTCCAGGACTGAGTATAAGAGAAGTATGGGACACCCTCCAGCTGACAAAACTCAGCCTTTTAATCTTGGCTCAGAACTTTGAAGAAATACCCAAAGGGCAAGAAGATGAAGGAAGGACATCTCCTCTTAGGAAAAAAAACACATTATGACAAATAGGACTAACACTTCACAATATATACTTTTGAGAGAGAGAGAGAGAGAGAGAGAGAGAGAGAGAGAGAATTTTTTAATATTTATTTTTTAGTTTTTGGTGAACACAACATCTTTATTTTATTTTTATGTGGTGCTGAGGATCGAACCCAGCACCCTGCGCATGCCAGGCGAGCGCGCTACCGCTTGAGCCACATTCCCAGCCAGTCACAATATTTTGACTAAGTTTAAACTACTATTTTTACAACATACAATATTTGATCCTATCACCCCATTCTTTAGAAACCTTTAAAATACACAATGAAAAGAAAGTGGTTAAATAAAAAAAGGAGGCAGACTCACATAATGGGACACCCTGTAGCCATCAGAAAAGTATATATAATATGATATCATCTTATATATTGTTATATGGATAGAAAAAAGAAGTAAAGGACATTGAAAAGAGTAATCCTTTCTGGGAAGTATAATTTCTGGTGTTATTTTCTGAGTTTTCTATAATGAATATGTCACTTATTACATACATAGTAAAAAAAACTTAACCATAAAAATTACCTACAGGAACCTACTGATAATTTCCCCACTGCTCACAGAATGAGATCCAGCAGCCCACTAGGCTCTCTGGGCTTCGGCTCAGAATCTCTTGATGTGTCCCTCAACCAGATTCATAGAGATATTACTGTAGAGTTTATGATCCTAATTCCTAGGAAAGACATCACCAAGTTCTTTCCTGGTGGTTGGAAGATAATCAAGCCCCACACATTCCAACTAGAATAAATTAGCTCTTGGTTACTCAAGGGGATTATTCAAAACTAATTTACTTTTAGATTTTAGGTATGTTTGTTTCAAAAGGAGTCTTCTTTGTTGGGTATAATGGCACACTTGTAATCTTAGTAACCTGAAAGTCTGAGGCAGGAGGATCACAAGTTTGAGGCCAGCCTCAGCAAATTAGCAAGACACTAAGTAACTTAGGGAGAACCTGTCTCAAAATAAAAAATAAAAAGGGCTGCGGATGTGGCTCAGTGGTTAAGTGTCCCTGGATTCAATCCCTAGTACCAAAAAGTCATGAAGCTGATATTAACCATTGTTAAAAGAGCTGTTAGGAGAATGTGGGTGGGGTGGGTTATCAAGAGAAAGGAAATGACATTCTAGTAACTTACCTGCTGGCCTCCCTCAGTAGACTTTCAATCCTTTTTTTTTTTTTTCCTTTATGGTGCTGGGGATATAAACCAGGGCCTCATGCTTACTAGGCAAGTGCTCTATACCTGAGTTATCCCCCCAACCCCTTTTCATTCTATTTTTAACACTCTGCCAGTGAAACCCAAACCAACTTTACGAGCAGTTCTGGGAAGGCAGGGAACTAAGGAGAACAGCTTAGGGGAGCAAAGGTAAGCACCTTGTCAAGACAAGAGTAGCCTTCACCATGAGGATTCTCCAACTTGGCTTTCAGGAACTCATGTAGCAGGAGTGTACACAGAAAAGCTGGGCTGGACTTTTCAGATGCACCAGCTGAATGGAGACTTTCAACTGCTRACAGGAGCAGAAACATCACTGACTCACTTCTTAACCACCCCTCTGAGATAAACCCCCATATGCAGGGGTTTCAGGACAGTGACCCTGGCCCACTTCAATCACAGGAAGGTCAAGCGCCATGTCTATATCACTTGGTAGGCCTCCCACATCTGCACTTTTCGGTTTACCCAGACACTGCTTTATGGTGAGGCCATGTGTATTCAGTATCTCAGGACTAATCAGAAACACTTTCAAAGTTTGGCAAAAGGCAATTAATTTTTAGCTTTCCTAAAAACTCCCACAATCCTGCAAGAGCCTTTGATTCAGCAGCTGGTAGAAGCAAGTGTGTACCTATGCTGGCTCACACACACACACACACACACACACACAC